CTCAGAGACCCCAGCTCTTGCCTAATTGTAGAGAAAACAATTATTCCTGCTTCATTCTCAGGGGACTTTAAAGCTTTACTTTCATTTTAACCTTTGACTTCCTGGTGCCAAGATTGTTTGAGCTTATTGAATCAAAATGTCCACCCTACAAAGTTGTGGACACTAATTCATTCTCAAGGTCGCTGTCGAGTTCAAATGTCTTGAGGCAGCCTGTGCCTTCTGGGGTACCTCCCGGGTTTCTTCCCAGGTAATATCAAAACTATGACTGAAACAATGGCACTATGACTCACTCGGCCCCTGACCAAGTCCCTGAGAATTTTAGTTAGTTGTTTGAAAGGTAACATACACTTTTGCTCCATGGAAACTCTATGGAACCATGGCCACCTCTCTCAGGACATCACACTGCTGACCACTCAGAACCCTTCTAACATTTTTTTCACTGTTCCAACCTCTCGTTATCGAAGATTGGTGTCATTTAGATGCTGGAGGGCAGGGAGCAACTTTCTTCAATTAATTTCTGCAGCCACAGTAACTGTTTTATGTGACATAGTCACTCGGGTTGTCATTAGGCGCCCTCCCTGCCAGAATCCATCTTCTAAATTCTCTTAATGCCTCCAAATGAGAACACTGCACTCTACTAGGCAACTCCCTGTTCTTTTTGCCCCATACCCTCTGGCAGCCGCTATTCTCTCTTATGTGTCCCTGGGACATATGGATGCTGGAATCCCACAGCACCCATCTATTTGTGACTGTACCTTAAACCATATCTGAAGTCCTGAGGGCTCATGGATGTTACAACTGACTTCATTTTTCAGGAAGTCAGTGGTCCACTGTGTGGTATATTGTGATTGTTGTTTACCGGTCTGTAGCCAGTACAGCAGGCCCTTCTCTCCTGTTGTGGATATGTGTGCACCAATTTAATAAGATACTTGACAACAGATGTTGGAGTTTGTATTTTGGTAAAGAAATAAAGTACCACACAAAGCAGCAGTGATGAATCTTCATTTAAAACATGCAAGAGAAGTATATGTGTTTTCAGAAAACCAGTTCAACTGCTTTCCCTTACCTCTCTGGTTTTTTTTTAAGAACACATTTTCTGTTTTATTCTATTTATACAACACTGGAGACTGAACATAGGGTCTCATACAGGCTTGGCAATCTCTCTATCAATGAGTTATATTCCCAGCCCTAGAAAATATATATTATGAAATTTCTACTTATATATAAGTCATTTTAAAATTAGAAGTGATCTGCTCAACTTCTTAGTGGCAATATGTGATATATGTATACATTTTAAAGGTGAAATAAATGATTAAATGTCATCAGTCATTATGAATCTAGTTGTGTGGTCAACTTGTCTTTATTAAAAGTATCGCCTATATCTCTTTATACAAATGAGACAAGTTACTACTAGTTAAAAAGTTCATAAGCCTCCACTATAGGGATAAAATCCTAAAAAACTGACCATGGAAACACATCATGGTTAAAACTGGTCCTAAAAAATTAGCTCATTTGGGAAACATGCTAAATGTGTTACTGTGGAATGCAAGACCTCCAGCCTGACCAGTGCAGGCAATGGGGAGCTGTTCTACCCTGGAAAATAAGGGCTTCCTTTTCCTCTCCTTGCTCTGTGTCCACTGAGTCAGACATCCCCTTGCTACATTTCCGTAGTTCTTTCTAGAATAGTGGGAACATGGTGGCATCTTTACTCAAAACTACACTCACATCTTTTGCATTTGAAATCACAGGCTGAGACAGATGCCTTCATTTTCTTCTTACAAAAGCCTCTTGAGAAACCACAGAAAAGTCAGAATGCATAATATCCTTTTCATATTTCCCCAAATTCATTGTTAATATGTAATTTTAAAAGTCTAAATTTTAGGATACTGAAATGAAAATTAATCTCTATGTGAAAAATAAGGCAGCAGCAGAGGACTTGTTTATATTAATAAAATTATGGGTTTGTTTTGAAAGAATTAATCTAACTAATGTCAGCACCCACTTGCACATATTTTAATTCATCAAGTACCAAGATGTGTAACTGGGAAGAGTTTCTTTGAAAAATGTACAGGGTGGTGGGGCTGGTTTTTCCATTTTCTAGAGTTAAACTACACAAAGAAATATTCAGACATGAAGAGGTTGTCGTACCTACCTACAAGAGTCAAAACTGATGCCCGGCAGCCTGGATCTGTGCCCTCAGAGACACATCTGGATGTCTCCACCTGGAGAGAAGTTTTGCCTAGCCTGGCCCTCCACCTCCCTTATATCTCTGCCTGGACTGACCTGTGGTGAGGATGGCCCACTGCCAGCCTGGGCTGCAGACACTATCCTATCAACAATACCCCAGAGCTGCTGGAGTGACAGTTCAGTTGCCAACAGTGTTCACTGTGCTGAGAAATTAAAAAAATTCCCAAGAGATTGTAAATTTTTTACACATATCATAAAGTCGTGAATCATGGAAATGACAGAGAATCTCGCAAGAGAAAAAAAAATGTACATAAATGTCTTTGAAAGGGTATTGTGATTTCAAATGTATGAATCAAGAAATCATGTGATTCTGGTGTCATGTAATTCTGGTATTCCTTGCACAGACTTCAGCAGATGTTTATTTTCACTTGCAATAGGCTGTTATATTTTGATTTTAAATTTCTTTTTTTGTGTGTCTGTATAGTAATATAATAATAACAACAACAACAACAACAATAACAATAACAGTGACAGCATCTCCAGGCTGTATTCATATCGATGACACTTCCCAGGTTGAATGTATATGGATCTGTGTTTCGTGATGTTTGACTATTTGCTTTTTTTTTTTTTTTTTT